TTTACTCTACACCGGGGCTACCCAACAGTGCTGCGAATGCTACCCGACTAGGGCATCATTTGCAGCACTGGCACAATCCGTGAGTAGAGCAAAGCATTTATCAACGCGATTTTCTGATGTAGGAGAAGAAGATCATGCAGTAACTCTCCCATCGCAAGACCTTCGCCGAAGCCTACAAGTTTTGTTTACTTCCTACATGCTTCTCTTTGTACGTTTCCTGCAGGATACGCTATGTTTCATACATTGCGCTCGTGAATAGGGTATGTTGAAAGCATTTGTGACATCACGTTGGACACTTTAACGAGAATGGCAACGCCGTGTCGGAAACACAGCCGACGAATGCGAAGCCAGTTTTCGAGCACCGAGGTTGCTGTCGTATCGATTCGTTTACACATGTCACGTGCGCGCAAGTTTGAGCAGATGTTGCGCGCATCAGTGCCCGAGCGATATCTCAAGCTCGCCACTCCGCCCGTCTCGAAAAAATGAAAGAAACGCTCTACTTTCGATATATTCCCTTGGATTTTCGAGAAACCAATTGTTTCGTCAGCAGGGAGGACAATCAGACAAAACGGCGGCGCTCACGGCCAACCTGGCCGTGCTAATCGCGTCGACTTTCCTCACCGTGGTGGCACTGTTCCTGTGAGGATCGAAGTCAAATGTTGTGCCGGGCAGAATCTACCAAGTTTTCAGAAGGTGAGGAGAATCTACTGGCAAGAAAATCGCACCCCTGTGGAGCAGCAGCCCCTGCGTCATCTGATTTGTGTGCTTTACATATAGAAGCGATTGGTGAATTACTGAAAATCCTGTACCGGCGGGGAACCGTGCCGTAATTGCGGTAATTGCGGATCAACTATCACAAATTTTTGGTAGCCAAACTCGAATTTGCAATGGCCGCAGATGTGTACATACATGCACGCAAAATTTACATGCAAACTGCATACCATGTTCCAAGTAGATGCTGCCTTATTCTAGGTGATTATGTAACGGTGAATATATGCGCTGTGCACTGCAAGCTCGCTGACTTTTGCTCCAGATCAATGCTGAGCACCGGCTGGTGTAATCGAATGTGTGAGTGCCTGCAACTGCCAACGAAAATTGGTAGACAGGCAGATGCAGCGGAAACTAACTTTAGTTCAATTTGGTGTCGACCATGTCCATAAATAAATAACTAAATTCAAATATAAATATAAGGGAAAATGACAAAAGGGGGTCCTCTGTGAGATATCCCGACAAAAGGAGGTCCTCTGCGGGGGTGCATTTGACAAAAGGGGGTCCTTTGACCGGCCCTTGTACATCAGACGCTTTGCCAGACCAGCGCCAGACCGACGCCATGCCGACACTCGTATGGCGCGAGACCGGACCACGGTCCTACTAGGGACGACCCCTCTGGGTCGCCGCTTGCTCTCCCCGCAGCGCTGATCGCCGCTTGGTCGCCCCTGCAGCTCCGTTCGCTACGACTCCCACAGCTCCGACCGTTGTGTGCTCCTTGCGCCCTCCCAGAAGGGTCGCCCTTAGTAGGACCGTGGTCTAGTCTCTCGCCCCATACTGGCGTCAGTCTGGCTCGGTCTGGCAACGCGCCTAATGTACAGGGGGCGGACAGAGGACCCCTTTTTGTCAAATGCACCCCTGCAGAGGACCCCCTTTTGTCACAAAGGACCCCTTTGACCCCTTGTCATTTTACATATATATAAATATAAATAAATATATGATATATAATTGTAAATATAAATGTAACTATAAATAAATATACATGCATATATAATTTCAATGTATTACACGAAAATGTAATATTAATTGGCAGCCTATTGAATGGGCCGAATTCCGCCTATTTTACAACAGGCGGTGGACATTGTCCTTGGGGGCTCAAAATCTGGTAATCGCAGACACATTGCTGCATACTCGGCGTTTGACTTCATTGCGATGTTGTAGATTTGTTTTCTCAAAGGAAGGCATTCAATCTCTGGAAGCAGGAAAGATTGTTGTCATTTAAGTGTCGTGGCACTGGAGGACTGCATGCAGAAATGCCTGCCCTCAAAGTCTTCTTGTTCTGATTCGTAACCAAACTGTGCGAGCTGCTGGTTTTCGCGTTGGCGTTCATCAAGACCAACTAAGATCAAATAAGCAAATGGCAAATTTATTCCACCAGCTATAATACAAGTCAACTGCATATTCGTCTGCGGCGATCCACTGAGTCGTGGCACGTAATGCAGGGGAAGACGCATTCGCAGTGCTGGCGGCCCTGAAGCATATGACCGCGATGTTGAAACTCCGGTTTGGGAAGAACCAGCGGAATAACAACCGAGGCAAATGGAACTCATGCCGTCTCAATCGCTCACGGAAACAGGAGGACTCCAGGAGTTACAGGTGCCAGGCATGGGCAACATCACCGTTTTGAAAGGTGGAAAGGAATTTTTTGGCGCGCACGGCAGCGTGAAGGAGGGCATGTGGCGCGACAATGAGGGCATTGCGCACAGTGTGGCCATCAAAACAGTGAAGGTGGCTGGTAGCGACAAGTGCCTCACGACCATCAACAAGGAAATAGAGATCTTGGCAAAGCTTCCCCACCACCCGAACGTCGTCTGGGTGATAGGCACGTGTCCGGGCGTGGAGCCAGTCATCGTGGAAGAGTGGGTGCCCATGACTCTGAAAGACCTGCTCGACAAAACGGGGCCAGTGCTGAGGTGTGGGGAGGTGGTGAGGATCACATTGGACGTGGCGAAGGGCTTATTGCATCTTCACAAAAATTGGGTGACGCACTATGACGTCAAGCCAGCCAACATACTCCTGGACAAGAGCCACAACGCCAAGTTGGCAGACTTCACCTGCTCGGTGTTCAAAGTGTCATCCTTGATTGATGCTGCGTGCCATGGCACGTTGGGATACATTGCTCCAGAGTGCATGCAAGGCGGAGTCTCAAGATTCAAGGCCGCACGTCCGGGCAGAGAAAATAGATGTGTACAGCCTTAGCAAGGTGATGCTGAGTTGTGTTGCGGGCGGCTTGGATAATGGCAGGACGGTGACAGCAAAGAGTTCGTTTCCTCCCCGTTTGTGGAGTTTGATTTGGGATTGCACTAAAATTGATCCAGAGGGCCGACCGAGCTGTCAGCAGGTAGTGGGCCGGCTTGAAGCCATGATGAAAGAGGGACTAGATGGGGAAGCGGACTAGGTTTAGAGAATGCTTAGACTGGCTCAAGGTGTGCACATTCCATGGTGCAGCATTGGTGTTTAACTCATGGTCACACAAGACTAGGCCATGATGCCGGAAAGTCCAAGGTCCTTTCCAGGGGTTTTAGGGCGGCTGCATGGGGCAACCGCCATGCAGTAGAGTACAACACCACTACATAGTGCTTTTGTTCTATATGTCGTATTGTGGATGACTCGCAGGGAACGTGGCGCCCCACGTCAAGACACCTCTTCAATGGGCTCACACTTCGTGGGCCACGTCTGCGGTGGTCCCAAGCACATCCAGGTGCCGGCCAGTTGGACGCAGGCCGCTGGCTGGCCATCGACACACGCCAATACAACGCAAGGGTGGTTCAGCCAGCCAACCTGCGAGTCCTAACCCAAAGGTTGGGCGCCAAAGATGCCACAAAACGGCGGGAGTGGGAAGCAGGATGTCGCTTTCGTTTCTCATGGTCACCGACTGGTGCTCCGCGCGGGTGCCTTGATTGGCACCAGCAAGCCGACGAGGGGCGGATGCCAAAGGGCAGCCACGGCCTGCGCGGGAGGCGAGGGGTGGGGGCAAAAGACGCCCCAGGACGGCGGGAGTGGGAGGCCGAAAATTGCCTCCCACTCCCGCGCCAATGCTCCTCGAGGAGCGTGTGCACGCGAGCTTGCGGTCGCCGATTGGTGCGCCCGCGGGTGCCCTGATCCGGTGCCCATCATGATAGGCAGCCGCGAGTGGCATCAATCGGCGCCCACCACACTTCGCTGCGCACAGGCGGAGATCCGCCCCGGAACTCGCCCCTGCCCCGGCCTCTGGGAGGCCCCCTGCCCCAGCCCTTTCACGAACGCCCTGTCCGTCCGTCCGGGAACTACCAAGCTCGCGGAAGCGGACAGACGCTGGTGCCTCCGTCCGTAAACTCACGGAATCCGTGCATTTCCGTCCGCGAGGTGCATACGGATTTTCGCGGACGCCCGATGTGGAACCAGTTCGCAGAAGTCCGCGAACAAAACGTCTGTCTGCGCACCTGCCGACTGCAGCTGACGGACGGAATTCAGCCCCTTGGGGCGATTCGCGGTCCGTCCTTCTGTCCGCGAGTTGCGGAACCCAATGCACCGTGGCACCCGGCCCCCTTTCAGCCTCTTGGCCGTTGTGGGCCGCGCCCAAACCCCGCCGGGCCACAGCTTATTCGCCACGGCACCGGACCGTCGGTTTTGCCCCTGCTTTTGCGCCGTGCGTGGCAGGCTCGCCTGCCCTGCGTCCCGTATTGTGGCCGCCTGTGGCTCTTGGGGCCTCAAAGACGGCAACCTCCTGTTTCACTCGCCGGTGTGTCCTACAAGATATAGGGGGGGCCAGGGGGTGGGGGGAGAAACGGGTGGATGATGTAGCGGGGAGGGGGGGGGAAATGGGCGGATGATGTCGGCGGCCAGCTGGTGTTAGAAGGGGAAACGTTAACGGATTTGCAATGAAGCGCTAATGTACTAGCCCGGGGCGGGGGGGCGAGTTGCGGCGAAGAGGAGAGCTGCAGGTCACGCATTAGTCAGTGCCACCGTCGCGAAAAGGACCATATCACGCGAAAGACAATTTGACTGTCGCGAAAAGAATGGTGACCAGGCTGACGGGCGTTTGAGGTGACGTTGGCTCAAAGCTTTTCCGATGGTCCATGGGATCTTGCGGAGATGCGGGGGCGTGGAGTTGGGCGCATTTGTGCGGCCCCGTGAGGCAGTTGCCGATGACGAGAGCGCAAGTCGCGTACGCGGCCGGGCCCCACGCCCTCCCCAAGGCCACTCACCCCCCGACACACCTTGGCCGCTTTCGGAGGCCCAACGGCGCCAAAATGGCGGGCGCCAGCCCGGCTGCCCTCCTGCTTCTGGCGCTCCTGTTTCAAATTTCGAAAAGCGGGCGGGGCGCCTCGCCGCTGGAGGTCGAGGCCAAGTACACAGACATAATGCGGGCCGTGGCGGACGACTTGGTCGACCGGTACGACCGGTTAGAGGAGTTGATGGCGGAGTGCGAGTGCAGCTACCACACGTGCGGAAGCAACCTGCCGGGCACCCGCTGCGTGGACATCAAGCGCGACCCGCACCCCGATGAGGACATAAAGGAGGCGGCGGCCAAGTACGTGGTCTGCGATCCGGACTGCGGCCATCGCAAGGTGAGGGAACAGCCCTTCTCATGGCGAGGACAGGGCATCATTTTTGTACTGGCCGTGTTTTGGGGTGAGTCTTCTGCTTGGGCGGGGCATCTGGGCGCAGCGCTCGAGGGGTAGATGTGGGCGACGCGTCGCGCTTTTCTCGTTGCAAGAATGTTTGCCTATCGGTGGGCCTGACTTTGCGGGGCGAAGGCACACGCGCGGCGGCGATTCAGCCGCGGAGGCGGGATCCCCTCCTGGGCGGAAACTCCTGCAGGGCCCGCGCGCCGGGGCGAGACGTAGGCTTCTGTGTTCTCTTTGATCTGCTTACGGGGCTCTCGATACTCCCGCAGCCCACCTGGGCGACATCACGCACGACGGGGCGGCCATCCGGCGGAAAAAAAACGGCCCACTTCTATCCGGCATCTCTGCAAGGAGAGACGCCGGCGATACCTCGCCGCGGTCGGCGATTGGGCGTTGGCCAGCGTTTGATTGGCGTCCCGGCAGCGATTGTGGTGCTCAAAGGAGTTGTAGGTTGGGAACTCACGGCCAAAAAGCACCAACGCCTCGCAGGATAGCCGATGGCAGGGCTATCTGCTAATGCCTTTGGACCCGTCCGCGGCCACTGAAACGAACCCCCGCGCCTCGCTTTGGGAAACGCGGCCGTAACCCCCGGTAACAGTGCGTGACGCCTCGAGCGCTGTTTTTTTGTCCGCTCCGCCCCTCGCCTCCTCTCTCCTCTTCTGGCCTCCTCGGGATGGTCGGCGGGCACTCCATTAAACCGGTGCCTTAAAAAAGGCGAAACAAGCAGGAGCAAAACGCAACAGTGAGAAGATTATGCCTCGATGCTTGCCCAGCTGCCTGAATCCCTGTGTCAATTTCCTAAACAACGGATGGTCGGGAGCATGATCAGCCAGGGGGGCTGCACAAGCGTGCACCTCCTAATAGAGGAAAGATGTAATGTGTGGAGGAGCTCCAGATCAACTCCCCTGGCTGAAACTGCAAATACGCTGGTTCCAGATGACTGGCCTTGCAAAAGGGAGGTCATAGAATCAGGTCTGCACGCTGGTGCTTGTGGTGCCGCGTGCCAGATGGTCGCCATGGCCAGCCTTCTTGAAGTGCGAGGGCCCCAAGGTCCACATTTTCAAAACTTCAAAAGCCTCCCTGTTTGGCACAACCACAACAAGTCATCGTTCGCCCCCCACTCAAAGTTAGCTTCAACCATCAACCCCATACAGCCGTAAATGGCCCAGGGACATGCCCTGCACGGTGTGGATGCTCTGTGTGAATAGTGTTGCTTTCATCATTCTGGATCCCCGGATGTGTGGAGGCCTGCTAGTGAGAGCTTGCAAAGCGCGCACGCCTGGAGCCCTCAATGAGGTATTTGTTGAAAAATAGGCCAATGCAACTTGTGAAGATGCTATTATTGGGCGGACAGTGTCATGCGCGGTGCATTGAGGCCCTGCTGGCTGCCGTCCGATCTCAGCTTGACATTCGTTCCTCGATCCAACGTTCGTTGAAAACCATTCTGCTGGCACTCACAGAAAGTTTCCCTCCAAAGTTGCTGCCCTTTGTCTTTGCTGGCAATGTGTATATCAGTTTGGCAGAAAAAGCCATGCCTCCATGCTGCTAATTGCATGGGGAAACACAATGCAACAGCACTGCAGGCCACTTCCTGTGCCATCGCGGTGACAAGCCCTTCATTTCAACAATCATGTGTATTACAACAGTTGCCAGTTCAGGCCCTGATTCTGGCCTACTATCTGCCAGCACCATTGGCTTGGGGGCATGCTTCAAACCTGACGTACTGTGCCATCCCTCAAACTTGTTGGTGGCCAAGCCACCAACTTGGCTTGGCATCTGTCAGGCTTGACTCCTTCCTGCACCAGAAGGAACTGTGCCATGGTGTGCAGGAGTGGCTCTGGGTCTTGTGATTAATGGATTGTGACGAGGGGTTGCGCAGGCGCTGTTATTGTTGTCAAGTTTCCGCGGGCACTAGAAAATGTCATGTCTGTGCGCTAGCAGATCTTGAAAGAGTCCACAAAATACATCCCCTGGACTGTGTCCCCATCATCCACCCAAAGCGCAAAACAACATGGAAGAAAACGGGCGGTAATGCACACGTGCACAGGAGCTAATGCGCACAGGTACTTGTGTGAACCTGCATGCTGATGCTCATCCGCGCAGGTGCACAGTCGCACAGGGAACTGCAGTCTGTGGGCTGGGCGGATGAGGGGCTCATGATAGCGCAATGGGATTCAGCACTTTTGCCACAATTCTCTTAGTGTTGGCCTGCACTACACTGGGCTGTACTGGCACCAACGCAGCTGTTGCAGGGTGGCATTGTTCTGCCTGTGCTGCAAGGCTGCCAGGCAGCAGACACCATGTCCATCCATCTCTAAAATCCCGTCAAAGAATTTTGTGTGGTGGTGTTGAAAGCTGCCTGGGCCTCCACTCACTGTTGCGCTTAGCCTGTGTGAGTTGGATCAGACCCACTCTCCCTGGCAAAATAACACACAAAAGTCCTACGAAGTACTACGAGGTACAAAACCTTGCACTGCTGGGAAGCACCGCTTGTAAAACTCCCAAAACACGTTCTGCATGCCTCCACAGCTGAGCATTGTGTAACAACAAGCAGTTAGCATGGTGTAGGTGTCAACCCCTATTCCAAACCTGATGCTTTTGTTGAGTATGATTGCTAGGATTGCCAAAATGCCAGGCTTTCCCACTCCTGCTGGTCACCACCTTGATCCAGACACAGTTAGAGGTGAGGATGGACTCATCAGCTCATCACGATTGCTGCACCAGACCAAGACCCACATTTTCTGGAAAGTGGGTGCGATATTATTGCCCAGTAGGGCTTAGTACTTTGCAGCACTTGGTTCCGTCATCTGGGCGGGGAAAACTGTTCAACTGCATTGTAATGCAAACCAAACCATCGTGGTATGGCGGTGAATGCAGTTTCCCAAAACCAGATTCTGCATCACCTGCACGATCGTTTCAAAATCTCCAACCAGAACGTAGTCAACTGTCAGCTTCAATGTGGCAAACGTTTCGTGACTCTGGTATCCTTGCATCAGGAAGTATGCTTGAGTTGCCAAGTGGCACCAATTGGATACTGTTTTCGTTTTCCTGTGGAAAATTGTGTGGTGGGTGTGGCCCACCTGAGAGTTCCAGCTGTCCTGTGCAGCCGCTGATATGGCGAACATGACTGTACAGGCCACTGGTTCCTAAATACAATACAACACCGATTGAGGTCGATTCTGCCAAAGAACTCGGGGCACTATTGTAAGGAATGGGTCCATGTTACAGTGCCGTCTTCACACTCCAAGAGACAACATTTCTCAGAAAAATCCCAACAAACGAAAACCAGACAACACTGCAGAGGGAGGTGGGAGTGGGTGGGTAGGTGGGTGGGGGGAACCCAGTGGGAGTCGCAGCCTGTGACGCAGAATTCGCCCGAGTTTGGCAGGGCATAGGACGCTTGAGGCGTTCCCTGGCAGCAGACGAATTGCTGGCAATCCTCGCTTTTCAGCCTTCTGTTTTGGGCCTTTTCTGCTTTCTCCCGCATCTGGTTTGTTGCCATTTTTGGCTGCCTTGGCACCGCGAAATTGGCAACGTCGTGTAGCAACCCAGTGCGGGGTGAAGTTCGCAATTGTTGTGTGTGCTAAAGTACTGGACTCGTAGCACATTTGCTTGCTAAGGAGCTGTATGGGCTCTGGGCGGTTAGTCACCATATGGAACGCACTCGGTCAATGTGGGAAATGGATTGGTTTACGTATTTACACAGCTGATAATTTAGCAACTATAAATTCACTTCGATTCGTTGATTCATTTTATGCAGTAAAGCGCCTACATGAGTGTATGTGCAACAATGTGACATGCACACATACTGCTGCCTGGCACCCTCAGCTGCGATTGCCTGTACAGCCTAATGAGCCCAGGAACAGTGGCTAGTCATGCTCGGACCAATGCAGTCACTAGTAGTTCACCCTGTGGCATGGCTGCACAAGTACTGTCAATGCAGCTAAGTAGGTCATGAAGCCTCCTAAACTAAAAGGAAACAATTCTGCCTGAAGCCTGTGCTCAATTTCTGCTGGCCAGCAGTCGACGAGCAGACAAATTGAAAGCCACAGTAAAAATGACTGCAAGAATGAGTGCTCGTCGGTCGCCCAACCAACTGTTAAGGAGATGCCAACAAACAAATCAGCATCTATTGAATATCGCTCAGCTGTCCAGTGCGCAATAAATACTAACTCCTTCTGTACGTCCAATGTTGCCTAGAACAATGTGAACTCCACGGTGATTTCCACGCCGAGCAACATCATTTTCGAGGATCCATCTCTGAGCCCGCATGTCGTGGAGGTCATCTGCATGACGCAGGTGAACCCCAAAATGGCTGGAAATTGCGTTTCACAGAGCCAGTTCAGGATTGTGTGCTACATTTTTCCATCTTTAACGAGAATTGATTGCTCTGAGAGGCAGTGGTTCACAGCGTTTTCCACTTGTAGTCGACTACCATGGCAATCTACTGGAACAAAACGCACGGCGATGTCCTTGTCTACTTTGAACCTGGCCCTGTCTCGAGTGTAGCTTCCATGATTTGAAGCGCAATGGGACAAATTCCACGGAATGCAGTTCAGCTCCACTTCTGTCCTGTACTTGGTTTCAGTATGTCATTTTCTTCACAATATTCCTATCTTGCTGCAACGCTTGGAAGAAACATTGAGGCTGATTTGGCCGTGATTTGCTAACAAGCACTTGTGCCCTTGTTATTTGCTTCCGATGCATTTGTCCATATCCTACTTCCATTATTTTGTGAATTGTCTCATAAAACAACAGAAGTATAATTGTATTTAATAGAATTACCATGAGCTGTGAGTGACTATCTATAGATTGACCTATATTTAAGCTCAGTATTTCACTCCAGCACCTTACTACATGTTTTGCTCCTGCCACGATACAGGGCATGGAAGAGGTAATGAAGTCGGCCAACAATTACAGTGGGGAGCACCTTCGAGCCACGTTCATTGCGTCGGCTCGGTCGGGCATAATGAGGCAAGTGCAAATTATTGCCCTACGCATGCATGGCCAACGACTGCATCGTGAATGTAGTCATCAGTGACGAATGATTTGAATAGCACAAGATCCTTTCACACGTTCGTTGTGCTACTGTGATATTGCATTGACAGTGCTGGTTTTCTCCTCTTTGTTTCGTATGCAAAATAACGTGTTCCTGTATTAATGCTACTGTCAACATCATCAACAACAGTAACAATGTGAGTACATTACTTCCATCTTCGCATGCCTCCGTTCCAACTGGCTTTGTGGACTTCTCTGATTCCCACATTGGCCTTTCGTGTTCATGGCCGTCATGTTTTCCTGATTGTTTTCTTTCTTGAAGACATCGGTAGTATATCTGCACTGATTGACGTGGAATGTCTTCTTGACAAACTTTGTGACGCCTCTGAGCCCCACTGGCAGGCTGAAGCTGTCTGAACATTCGAACCTCGCAGGTGCACACGGCTTTAGTAGGTGCAAGTAGACTTCAGTAGCCTGTTCAGTAGATAAACACGCCATTTTGAGCGTTGCAATTTTTGAGTTGCGTCTGAAGCGAAATTTTCGAGGCTTCTTTTCAGAAGGCTGTTTTCACTGAATCTCATTTAGTTGATTCATCATATCATATTTGATATCATCTCTTTATCTGCTTCAATTTCAGTCGCAAACTTCGAATGTGTCATGCTTCTCCAATATTCTGTTCTCCCTTGCACCCACTTGTGTGTGGCATCTGGCCAGGATTTGGCCCATGCTTGCCCAGCCTCGACACAAAAACGGAAACTGCCTACGATATGATCCGGTGAGCTGCCTACTCTCGTTGCCGGGAGATAATCCGATTACGACGATTTCTGTCAGTATACATGCGCAGCGTTTTTAGAGAACATTTTAGTGGCAAGTACTGAATTGAAATGGAATATTTGCAGTGATGTGCGATAACATACTTTCAATGTCTTGCGTACGCAGGAAATAGCTGTCATGTATTGGAATTGATGTAGTGTGTTCATATGCCGATGCAACCTCTCCACTTTGTGCAACTTGAATCTGTTCATGAATCACGATGCTGCAATCCTCTTCTCAATGTCAAGGCTGGCCGAGATCTGATGAGCATACTGTCGCAACGAATACGGTAATTTACTTAGAAATGGATGGGCAGGCTCATGTACTTGAAAACGTAAGACGTTGGGACAAACAGCTCATGGCTTGCTTCTTGACTGGTTTTGTGCGAGCACATGCATGTATATACAAAAGCTTTGGTAGATGATAAGAAATTTTCAAATGAGCTCAGTTTAAAGGTATATGGCATAAAATGCTGCTGAGCACGATGATGCATTGTCGATGCTTGATTGCAGATGTAATTCAGTGATTACAGTGCTTGGGTCATACAAGACACCTTTATAAGAGCATGCTGTTGACATTGGAGTTTCATTTGCTTCTGCAGTTCACAAAGCCTCCAGGGATGTCAAAAACGCTTGCATCGATAGTACTAGTGAGTGCTAAATTACGCAGTACAAATGGTGTGAGCAGCGAAGCAACAAACATCATTTATTGCGCATGTGACCAGTTGAATCTTCAGCACCGTTCAGCGAATCATGCAGATTCGCTGCAATGGAAGTACTGTGTTCTGCAGTGGTGCAAAATGATGCTAATGAACTCGTTGTGACATTTCTTGTCGCAGCGACTTCGCCTCTGGTACAAAATGGCGACTTCCGAGCCAAAGAAGGTCGTCATTATTGTGCGAGCTGCAAGTGAGTTTTATGCCCAACAGTAGTGCAGTAAGTAAGATATTTCTTGAAATCTGTTGTGCGTATTTCATGAAATATCCAGAATATCTTGTGTACTTCCTTGTGATTAGCATCACCAACATCTGCCTTGCCCACAGTGTGCTGTATAGGTTGCATGGTATAGTATTTGTGCTATTTATCAATGTTCGGTATTATTATATTTGTAAGCAGGAGTTTTCGTGCAATCAATAAATTCTTAGAGGGTGTCCTCGCCGAAGGTTCGGAAGATTTTTAACCGCATGGCATAAAAACAGCTTGCCAAAAAAGACAGGCATTTGTTTTGGGATTGAGAAAGAACTTGTTTTTCGTTGATGTGCATGCATAATTATAACTAGCTTCTTCAAGGTGTGCATATCCATTCAGCCAATTTTCAATTTCGTTGTGATTTTTGTTTCCAGATCTCTTGCATTTTCATGGAACGATGCATATGCAGTTTCCATAGACATGCGTTGACTAATACACAGCACATGCCATTCACCCACATCGATAGTATTGCAATAATTGTACTGATAATTCATCCTGTTCCTGACATTGGCACCGCATCCATGGGCCTATGTTTGACCCTAACTTTAGGATCATTAGTGATGTTACCATTACTTACACCTGTTCGCTTTGAAGCTGCCCAGGGTGCATGGAAGCCTGCACCGCCACCAAACGCCACTGTGACCTTGTCTACAATCACTGTTCGAGATCAAAAAATTTCTGAATTTTATTCCTTGTGGAAATTAACCTATTCATTTATTTAGAGCTAGAATTACTGTTACGTTGCTCACGTTTCCCGTCCGCGCTCACACACGGTCGCTCCCAAGCACGGGAAGCAAGCCGCAACCAGACGATGTTACAGAATGATTGTCCCACTCATGTAGCGTTCACTCCAAGCGTGTCCAAAAACATGTCTCTCCCCGTCGTTCCCCATTTCACCATACTGAACACCATATTTAATTCACCATAAGAACTTCACCCTCCATACAATCGCTCATGTATCTCTCTCGCCTTCACAATTACTATTGGGAATTATTTAGAATTCAGAAGTTATTTCTTGATTCAGGTTCCATGGAGAAGCTGCTTCACCTTGGGGGAGGTGGCAACTCCAAAACACGTTGGGAAGTTGCCAAGGAAACAGTCAAGAGCATCCTGCGAACTCTTGATGGCAGCAGCGACTACGTCAACGTTATTGCCTTCAATGCACAGGCCACTGCCATAGTGGGTGAAGGTCTGCTTGATGCCAAGGATGCTAATATAGAAGCACTGGAGGCTGCATTGGATAAAGTTGAGCTGCCAAAGGGCTCAGACAACGCGGCAGCCTTTAATGCCGCCTTTGACATGCTTCAAAAAGGGAAGGACATGCAAGCACAGCAACTGCACAACTGCCAGAACGTAAGTGACCTGTGGTGTGCGTGCATGAATTGCGTGGGTGGGGCATTGCAAGGAAGCCCAGCGTTGGTAGCAGAAATATGCTGCTTTTCTGAACATCGTTCATTGAAAGAAACTCTGTTGGGAGATAAACTTTACATCATCACATGAGCTTGGCAAAAACTCGCATTTCAAGCTACCAAAGTGCAGCAGAACGCACAAGCGAACTGGAGCAAAAAGAACTTGCTGCAGTCAGCTTTGCTTCACGTACAAAATTTCCTTTCTGCAGAAAGAAGATATATTCACTGTCGACCAACGTCTGGAAGACAAGGCCTCTGCACAGCCATGTCCCTGAGTGGATAGAGGGCTAGAACTGTATTGTTGCCTCCACATGCTAGTTAGGTTAGGACAGTTCCGCACCTTCAGTTTGTGGTACCATTGTATGTACACACCCTCCACGTCGCCTTAACACCATTTCTAAGTACCTGATTGTTGCAGGAGACCCCGCACACTGTCAATGGGTGGGGTCACTGCACGTACGTTGATGCAATCTGCAACCTGGTTTGTCTTCTGCCATTGCACGTTGCACAGCCTCCCATATTTGCATGAAATGCAAATATGCATGTTCTTGCATGTTGCCAGACATTGCTGATGTGCAGGACAAGCCTGCCAAGTCTCTGCTTCATCTCGATAAGTGATTCTGCTCATTTTGCCAGATCATCATCCACATAGGCGACGGTGAGGACTGCACAAAAAATGGTGACCTGCCGTGCTCGCTTCGAGAATCAAATGGATCAGATGATCGACATGTGGGAGGATCCGAGGGGTTGATGGATGGGATTCCACGAGATGGCATTCAAAAGAACCTGGAAGTTGTGGAGGCCAGGCAGCGCATTCTGGAGCAATCGTCCAGTCGAGCCACAGTGTTCAGTCTTACGATTAATGGCACAAAGAATTGCCTGGCACGCCAGCTGGCTTGCAACAATGGGGGCGCATGGTTTAGCCTGGACGGTAGGCGCCACCAGCACGTACCCACAGAAAAACAATTGCCAACTGTGAATAACAAAGTAATTATAAGAAGACGACAATGAACCAAAACAGAAAGAACCAAGAAACGAATTCCAAGCATCTCTCAAAGGTGCAAGTTTCCATTACAATTCCAATCAGTTATAATTATATGTTATGCAATTCTATTAGATATAGTACCATTATATATAATAGAGGGCATTTCGGACTGGTGTGATCAGAACATGGTGGCCCAATGGGCGACCACACAACATTCTCAGTCCATTATTGCCACCCGGCGCTGCTGTCTGCCTTTTGTATCTCATCACTGCTATCTATTGGGGAAATTCCCTGTTGTTGCCTTGTGGAAGCCGAGCCAGACACTTGAGCACCACTTCTTCCGTCCGCCTCTGGTACTCTCTGTTCCTTGGTGCATCCAGCATCTGTGCTTGCATATCAGGGCAGCTGTTTTCATGTCCACAAAGACCTTGGCAACACCCCATTCAATGTCTGAGACTGTCTTGCAATCTGAATTGGATGCTATTTTGACCAAAGGTTTCAACTTGCAACTCCTGTGTGCTGATTTGTGTTTCTCTCCTGGTGAAGGTCGCGGAGAGCCCCTGAACAACATGGGGCCCTACTTTCAGTACTTGGCGTTCGCCATGGAACCAAGGCCAGACAGACACCACGCCGTCTTCACGCCTTTAGCACCTCACTGGAGCAGCTGGAGCAAGAAGACCAATGTGGCATATCCCGTTTTTGTGAATCCCAGGTACTGAGGTTTCTGAGGCGTGTGTCTCTGAATTACCGCCTTCATTTTTGTGTTTGCCTTCGCCATTATGTCCTATTTGTTAGTACAGGCGAATGGCAGATGAAGCGCTGTGTACCATGTCTTGGTGAATTGTTTGGCGTTGATATATTTGTGCAATCTGCTGTACATTTGTATACGATGCATACATACAGTATATCGTACATTTTTACATGTATTTTGTACACAATTATGTCGTTGTATAATAAATGTACATTCTTGGATATTCATCTGCAATTTTGTTGCATGTACATAAATTTATCGATCCCCTTTATGCATTGTGCATGTGGGTTCCAGATGCACTGACAGGACGTCATCTAAGAGGAAGCTGCTGCTGGCCGTCATTGGCAAGGAGGTGACTTTGAGGGTGCTGGAAGAAGAGGACGGACTTGGGGAGAAAGAGGTGAGACAGTACTTGAGCAGTTAACACTGCAGACTCCCACAACATGTTACTCACGTACTTTGCTACCAGCTGCCCGCCAGTGTGACGCTCTATTTGTGGCATTCGTTGATTATTCGTCAACGTGGTGGACGCCGGACCGACCCCACTCTTTGAGAGGAGGCTCTGTGGGCCTGCGCACGAATTTTGTGTACTTTGTTGAATTGATGTTTTCTTTGTTCTGCGCACGTTAGTTTGGATCAGCTTGGGCTCGTTAATTTGAGATTAGTTTATATTACCACCATAGAGTTGCTCAAGTTTATGTTCATCGAGGTTAAATTGGATCTTGTTGTAGATAAACCCAATGCAATCGAACGAAAATTCGACACTCAGATCAAGCGCAGCGGGATACATAAACGGCACTTAGCATGCCAAGCTGATGCATGGACAGCCGCACAGCTGTGTGTTCAGCACTCTCGGATGCAGTATCAAAACAAAATCGAGTTTGGTGGATACCGGCGACAGCATCAGGACTGTTTTGTTGCCACAGAAGCAGTATAGTATAGCAGCAGTATTGCAGTATTGCAGCGTAGCAGCAGCATTGCAGTATGGCAGTATAGCAGCAGCATTGAGTTTGTCGATACGACAGCTGGCAATGCAACGCAATGTTTGTTTGCATTGCAGGTGGACAGCCTGATTAAAGAGAACTTCGCAAAGACGAAGGTGTGCAACGGGGACTACGAATATGACCTCTGCAAATTGCAGGTCGGTGGTTAAGGAAGAAGGAAGAAAATTTTATGTGTTTTGGAGAGCAACGTACTGCAGCAAGCTGTTGTTTGTCAACATTGCCGTTCCTTGTGCTTGTGTGCTAAGACGACGAAACGTGTGAATAGGAATTGCGAGGATCCACGTCGGAGTGTCCTGCCCGCTCGTGGAGGGCATCGGACAGGGAAAAATGTTATGCATTCAAAAGCGTGCATTACGTTCTGGTAGCAGAGCCGACGGACTTCGAAGAGGCACAGCAGCGGTGCAAGGATATGGGTGGCCGGTTGGCGGAGCCGAGCGTTGAACAATTCAAAGATGATCTGCATTTTTTGGCTTCGATCGTTCCTCCCGACGGTGCATGGATTGGCCTCAGGCCAGGCCCACAATGGAAGTTTCTGAGCTCCTCCCAGGATGTGGGTATGACTAATGTATCGGTACAGTCACACCTAAGTTGTGCTGCAAATGTAAGAGCTGCTTGTTTCAATGCTTACTTGCTTTGTAGTGGATGTTTCTCAACTCTTTTGAAACGGTGGGTGCCCGTTTGAACTTAGCATTGCGAGGGTCTAAACGATATATTGCGTTGCATTGTGTTGCGTTGTTTCTTTGCCCATTCATGTGCCCATATACCTTTTTTGTGGTGGAGACCAGAAAAATTTTGCTTGTGGCTTGCTCTGATATTCCTGTGACTTGTTCTGGGGTACTTGCTTGCTGGCTGATAAAGTACAAAATGCTTAACAATACCTAATACAAGTACTGTTTGTCAAGTATCCACCTGTCGATTTGATTCTGGTTTGGTGGCTTCAATCCTCGACCAAAACAACTCACTGAACAATTTGTGGTACACGATTGCCTGTGTGTGTTTTACGTTGAGCAGTTAAGGTTAGTACTTCATGATACTGTTTGTGCCACATTTTGTCAAACCCAGTTCTTCCACTGCAAAGACTGAAAAACAATGTTTCGGGCTGAGGCAGAAAGGAGATCCCCTGACTCCGCCATGCCTCCCCTTCACAAAACGCGTCCCTGAATCATTGGCACATGGCAACGGGTGTGGTCTTTCCCATTATTGTCAGGCCTGTACCATTATTGACAATGTTGTCCACTAACACATAATTCCCATTGTTGTTGTTAATGCCCATGTACTGGTAATATCTGTTATTAGCAAAAATGCTCATGAATTGAATATTCTCACCATTGGGGCACACTGCATGGTCCTGCGAGCATGGCAGTGTCTGACCACCGTTTCACTTAGTTCCAGTAAAAGTGCAGTACATTGTGAGACGTTTGCGGAGTCGACTGCACAGTGGTAGGCCTGCACTTGTATGATGTTACTCACGTGCACATATGGTAATACATGCGCTGATAAGTACGATGTATCTATGTAACATACGGTGGTGTGTACCATGGCAAATCTATGCGTATATACATACATGCTGTAGCAGCCTCGGTCACATATTTCTGGCATTTTCAGACCCAGCAGCTGGGAGATTGAATTGATCGGCGGCACAGGGATCAACGCCTTGCGGTTGTAGTTTCCAACTGCAATTTCCAATTTCTGAAAAATGTAATTTTTGGGTGCAGGTTCCGGAGAGACTGACACGTGATCTGTGGTTCACAAAACCTTCCATAAGCGGCAGCTGCAGGGGGAGTTATGTCGACCCCCGGGGCACCCTTCATAACGTGGGGAGTCGATTGTGCAACGATGAAACGGCGTTCGTCTGTCAGCTCGATGAAACAACGCAGCCAGAGCTTTGCAAGGTGTTTTTGTAATCATGGCACAGCCACTTGGCGAATGTTCAGCTCATTAGCTATTCTCGAAACTTGTGCTGTCTGTTTGAATGGCGATGGAATGCGAGGGGTTGGAATCAGAGCAATGTGGTAACGAATCTGAAGAGCGTTCCATGCAGAACGCCTGTCCCAGCCAATCGACAGTCACTTGTTCAAAGCCTGAACAAACGATACAACTGAGATTGATTAACGTTGTGGATTGATCAAACAGTATTGACTGAACAATAATCATGAGGATAGGAGCAACCATCATCAGACAGGCCATTCAAAATCCCAAGCGGGGATCTTTCACCTTCATGAGATGACGGACAGCACAATCGCGTACCGCTCAGTTGCATGCGCTTGTCATGTGTAGTGGATCGTTTGGCAAAACGAAGCGGCATGCCGCTTCAAGCTTCCAATATCGCCGTAAGTGAGTTGAAAAACTGTTTTGACTGCATGGATTGACCATGATGCCGCATCCTTCCCGCTAAGGACAGCCTCATGCCCTCACTGCGACTCATGATGAAATACCGAGTCTTGGCGTGCGTTATTCAAGAAATTTTCTGAATTCCCACGGTGATGCCCAGACCGTCAAGTGCTTAAAATGGCCTCAAAATTTGGCTGCCTACAACAAATTGTGTGCTTTTGTCGTCTTTGAACTCTGAATCGTGTTGCGTTTCCGCAATGTTTGGATGGGTTTGTGAGATGGCCCTGGTAGCCCTGTCAGTGCAACCCCCAAAGCGATATTTTGTTTGGTGATCCGCTACTTGCTTCCCCAATCACACGACACAAGTGGCAATGTACGGCTCCAGTGCAAACGCTAATCGGCAGCGTATGTGCTTTCTATTGGCCCGCTTATGACGCTCCAGGGAAACATAACGCCGGTACTTTCAGAAGCGCTGTGGAACGCCACAGCAGAGGGGTGTGCATCCTCTGGCGGATGCATCGGAGGCATCCGAAGTACTGCGACTGTCGGAAACGAGTTGCCAAATTCCAGAGCCACCAGCAGCGTCATCTGCGACTTCGGACCTCCGAAACCATTCAGCGAGCTCATGTGCTGCTCAAGAGACGAGCTCCAGGGCGTCTGCGAGGTAGAAAGGCACCTTGTTTTAAAAAAGGTGGTATAAGGTCCACCACAGTAGTTGCCCGCGCCACCTTCACTGAAACGGTGTCAAAGGCTTTAGACACCCTTTCAGGCCGTGTTGCAATGATATGCGACAAATGCTTGCGTTGGAACAGAGGCTGCACTGGCGTTAATGATGTCTGCTTCGTAAGTGATAATGCGTAGTAGTAATGTTGAGCAAGGTATCACAATGCGTAATACTTCGAAATGTCATAATTAAGACAGTGGAGTATGCGTGGTGCAACATGCCACGAACATTGGAAATGATGCATAACAGTGGTAGTGAACTACATTCCTGGAGGATACTGTTCTCACCTGAGCACACGCATAAGCTCCCTTTGACAGTATTGAAGCTGTGTGTTTTGAATTTGCAAACATCGCAAGGTCGCGGCTCGGGTTGTTGATTTGGGAGTTTTGGGCACAGGCCACGGCCGGTCTGCTATTAGCCATAGTGCCGCAGTTCCAGCGCAAAACCGTGGTCGCTTCAAGGGGCAAACATGGTCTCCAGCGCTGGTTGCGCCTCGTGGCCGGTTGTGGAGTCCGTGTGACCACCACATGCAGCCAGCGTCTCAGGGAAGGACAAGCTTTGACACACGTGTGACATTCTGTCCCGCTGGTTGATATGGAATTATGGAGCGGAAATTTGAATCTGGGCACAAGTTTTGACCACGTCAACTAGGCAGCATGTGGAAATATCAAAATATCAAGTTGTTCTGATCAGAAACTCGCTTCGGGACGTCAATTTGAAATTTTGGTGTCCATTTGAGGCAACAATACAGGGAGGGGGAAACATCTAAATGTGGCGACCTGATCGTGAAGCTAACCATCTCATGCGCGCCACTCCATATATCTCCAAAGAATAGAATAGGCGGTTCTGTTTCGGCCTACTCTCCAGGATGTTCAAGCAACGGATTGTTGTGTAATCAGGGAGGGGAGTCGACCAAAACGGTGGTGCTCGCAGCCACCCTGTTTGTGCTCGTCTTGTCAACGCTCCTTACTGCGGTGATTCTGTTCCTGAGGGTATATAAGTCGAATGCTCTGCTGTGTACAATCTACCAATATTTCAGAAGGTGAGACGAATATATTGTCATGTAAATTTGTTGGGAGGAAGATCGCACCCCTGGAATGCAGCCCCTGACCACGGCTTGATATTGCTTACGAGATTAGCTGATTTGTCTCATCTGCGTTGTATGTATCACGTATATGTGTGATTGGATAACTGCTGAACATCTCTTACAAGAGAAGGGGAGGGAGTGGTGCCTAAATGTGGACCAAATCGCACAGATTATTTGAGCCAAAATCAAATTTGCATGAACGCAGATGCCTACACGCGTATGCATACATATGCATACACGCAAATTAGGCGTGGAAAGTGGATACCGCCTACCACAGTCCATGCTGCCTTACTATAGGTGACTGTGTGTGCAACACAAAGTCGCTGACTTCTGGGTGAAGTCAAACCAAGCAGCCGCGAGGAGTATAATCGAATGTATGCATTACTACAATGGCCATCAAATTCTCTTGAGGGGTGGGCAAACGCAGCGAAAACGACTGCAATTCAAATTGGTTTGGATCTTGAACGGAGTGCAAATGCCCTCAGTGTCTCGACTGCCCTTCCAGGTGTGCCGCCTTTGCGACACGCTGACTCTATTTAGCACTCTCATCTTAGTGCTCAGTCCAATTTGGTGAGCGAGTAAACGGGATGGACTTTTCCATCTCATACGAGAGCTGAGGATAACCGTTTCAGGCGATTTGTCCATAAGTTCTCTGTGTGGCACACGGCTTCTCGTCGAAGGTAAGTTTAATGGATTACAGCTTCTTGCCAAAGATTGCACGACCATGTGAAATGGGCTGTACTCGGTCTATTTGACAGAAGATGGAGATACGGCTCTTTGGGCTTGGGAATCTGATGGGACATAATGCTGCATGTTTGACATTTCGACCTAATTATACGATTCTGTGGCACACAAGCTTTTCGAAGAAAATCATTCTAAATCTAGACGGAGGAAACGCTACTGCCATTTGGACGTTGTTGCACTTGAGGGCTGCCTGCAGAAGTGACTACCGTCACAGTTTTTGTGTTCTGTTTCTTTGCCAAACACCGTGGACGGCTGGTTTCTGAATTTTGCGTTGTCGTCCATCAACTTCAACAGCTAATCTCGAATAAAAAAGATGGCAAATTCATTCCAGCATTTTGCAACGAGTTACCTCTGCATTCGTCCATAGCAGTTGTCTCACGATGTGCAATGCAGGCGAGGAGACATTCGCAGTGTTAGCATCTGTGAAGTACATGAATGCGGCGTGGAGACTCCAATGGGGGACAAAGGAGCTGCAGAACAGTCGCTGGGAATGGGACTTCTGGCCTCTCAGCCGCAAGTGGAGAAAGGCGAACTCCAGGCGTTACAGATACCAGGCGTTGGCAGTGTCGCCGTTTTGAAAGGTGGAAAAGAATTCGTTGGCGCACACGGCAGCGTGAAGGAGGGGGTGTGGCACGACAACGAGGGCATTGCGCACAGTGTGGCCATCAAAACAGTGAAGGTGGCTGGCAGCGAGAAGTGCCTCAAGACCATCAACAAGGAAATAGAGATCTTGGCCAAGCTTCCCAGTCATCCAAACGTCGTCCGGGTGGTAGGCGTGCGTCCGGGCGAGGAGCCAGTCATCGTGGAAGAGTGGATGCCCATGACTCTGAAGGACCTGCTCAACGAAACGGGGCCAGTGCTGAACTCCGGGGATGTGGTGAGGATCACCCTGGACGTGGCGAAGGGCGTGTGCCATCTTCACAAGCACCGGGTGACTCACCATGACATCAAACCTGCCAACATACTCCTGGACGAGACGTGCAACGCCAAGCTGGCAGACTTCACATGCTCGGTGTTCCAGGTGTCCTCTTTGATCGATGCCACACGGCACGGCACATTGGGTTACATGGCGCCAGAGTGCATGCAATGTGGGGTTTCAAGATCAAGGCCACGCGTCCGGGCAGAGAAAATAGACGTGTACAGCCTGGGCAAGGTGATGTTGAGTTGCGTTGTAGGCAATTTGGATAACGGGAAGACGATTACTGCAACGAGTTTGTGTCCTACCCGTCTGTGGAGCTTGATTTGCGATTGCACCAAAATGGATCCAGAGGGCCGCCCGAGCTGCCAGCAGGTCGTGGAGCGGCTTGAAAGCATGGTGAAAGACGGATTGGAAGGTGAAGTGGGTTAGATGCAGAGAATGCTTGGACGTGGTACGGGATGCACGCATTCGATGGTGCAGAGCAAAAAAGCAGCGAAAGCGTTGATCGTGATGTCCGAATGGGCATTGAGTCTAAGTCGCACCGAGCTTTTTCGCGCTTGAGCTCTTGGCGATGAGATTCTAGTTCTGTCCTTGCTCATGGTTCAATTGGCTATCGCAGAATGTCTTGTGGTGCTTGCAAACTTTACTGCAAGATATTAACCTGTAGAGGGAATCTGTGTAGAGACGATGGGTGCTAGTTGGCGATTCCTTTTCTCAAGCAAGGAAAATTACCTGACATTTCTTTACGCGTAATGAATTAGAGACCGAAAGAGGCTATCAGAGCTACATCTGATGCAAACAGTGACAGGACGATTGGGGAGCAAAGTGTAATTGGAATCAGCTCTCCTTCTGACGGCTTCCCAATTACTTGAAATGGGCGAATCTGGTTTCGCTGTCGACATTTGAAGGCGCCAGATGTCCTTAAAGCTATTTAAACCTAGAAAGAAGATACATAGCAAACATCTCATGACAGCGCGCTCTGAGTGGCTTTCTCTTTTGTAACATGCATTGGTGAAAATTATTGTACTCTATATCTATTAGTTATATCTATCAGCAGCAGACATCTCCCAGGATGTACGCATTTCCAGAACATGCAAATTCACGCTGTTACTTTTCTGTCTTGTCACGAATCGCGAGCTAGCGCATGCTGCAATTTTGCTTTGGCCTGAAGCAAAACTTTAGAATGGGATGTCCAGCCCTTTGCTATTCGCACGCAGGCCAATTCACACGAGGTCAACGATTCCGTGCCCCTGTCCTTAGATTTGTGGCTTGAATCAACGCGTGCAAGTTGTTCCAATGCATCATGGATGACCTCGTTGAACGAGGGACTATGGACACTGTTCATAGATGGACTCTCGCCAATCCTGGAAGTGTTTGGCCATGAAAACCAGAAGCTCAGTGAGCGGAAATATCGGGCAAAAATCGCATGCCTGTATGCAAGGTACTGAAATGTACTTCCTCCGTCTGATATGAAATGCTTGGGAGGCCGCATTTGTATCATACACTTGCCCATTTTCATTCAAAATTGGTGCAGAGCACCCCTTAGAAGCTCAGCAAGTGCTCCCAAATTGTTACGGAGAACGGGTAAATAGTGGTCACATGGCAGTATTTGAATCCCTTCTGACTGCAGTCAAGAACTCGAACCTTCTCGCCGAACAGCCCCCCAAATGGGGTCTCTGAATGCGTCGCCTTGCGGCCGAAGGTGCATGGCGCAAAATGGACATCTGCAGCCACCGTCATGGCTGCACGTTGGAGACGTTCCAACCGAACAGGGGAGGCCGTTGAACCAAGTTCCGCACAGCTCGATAGTCGATTGCCACCGTGGCTTTAACGGGTCAGCGAGAATTTCAGCTCCGGATTGGAGATGCTGAAATCAGCAAACCTCACAACCACGGCGTTTTCAGAAAGAGCCAGCCCCATCGACATGACCGTTATGGTCGCTGAGTGCAACACGAAGAGTTTGGAAGAACCTGATTATAACCTCGCTGCGTGGCAGTCAAAAGACTGCTAGACCTGCCTGTGCTGCGCACATGCCGCAAGGGGCACTTTGAGCGCTGTTTACCCCGCTTTGAAAGTGGCCACAGCGGCAGATTACTGTGGGCACCATAGGAAAATACAAGGAACACTACCATAGAGACACTTGAGGTCTCTGATTGAGCATTCACATTTCCCATCCTAGTGTTTGATGGGATGGATGCCTGCTTGACTGGCGGTGCTCCCCATGCTAGGCAAGTCACCAAATGGAGATCTGTGCCGAGCAATGAGTTCTGGTGCACATACCTATTCTACAGTTAGTCTCAAGACGCTTGCAGACCTATTGGGAACGGCAAATCCCAGGCATTTCGGGACGCTGGAGCGGATTGTCAGCGATCGCTGTTGGCGCTGGGCAGACCTATCCACCAATTTCTGCCAATCTTCCTTCGTGAAGGTTGTCGTTGTCTGGGATAAAGCCCGAGCAACGAGGGGACCCTGCCCTTGTGATACTGCGACCGCCATGCAAAGGGCTACACTCGTGGTGTGTGGGGTCTCCCTGGATCCAGGGCGCCAATTTTGTTTGGCTCACCGACCGTTCAAATTTGGGGCCAGGTTCGTGTGGCTTCAAAGTATTCCGCAGCGCGTGAATCTTATTTTCTGCCAGTGAATTTTTGATGGCGTCGACTAAACAGAGAGTGGGCAACCTGATCCGATTTGCAAATAAAAGGACGTGATGGGTGATACAAATGTGGCCAGTCAACGAAATGTATCATTTAATTGCGGACGGAGGAAGCTATTTAATTTTCAGCACCCATAGATAAGGACAAGTGTCCTTGCATATGCACCTGCGCCATCGTTTTCATGAGACGCTAAGCGACGAGTGTCCTTGCACCAGTTTATTTTACATGGCTTTGACGACACCAGATTCCAGCATTATCATCTGCACAAACCACCCACCCCAAACCCCGTTTGTTTCATTTCCAGAAACCAGAGAAATATAAAACCCACCAAACATAGACAAAATGTTCGGAACAGAACATACCATCCGTTCGATTTGGAAAAGCCCTGTGGAGTCACCGAGAAGCGCGCCAGATTTGCGCCCTTAGCCTCCTTGCACTCCAATCTTCAGTGCTGCTCCCGCTCCCATCCAACATGCCGTTGAGCTCTTCCACCACTTGGTGACATCCCGGACGGTCCTGCGGATGTGGTCGAATGCAACAACAGATGAACTCCCACAGTGGCGCATGGCACAGCCTCCCCGCGGCGGCTTCGCTCACACCCAAACTCGCGGCTACGCACTTCGACAACACCTTGCCCAGGCTGTAGACGCCGGCTTTCTCGGCCTCCAGTTGGGCCGCCCTTGGCCCCCGCACTGCGGCTCCATTTTGAGGGAGGCACTCCGGCGCCATGTACGCGGGGGTGCCATCCGAGGCGTCGCGAAAGTTCGAGACGTCGCTGGTGTCCGAGAACCTGGCAAGCATGGCGTTGCCCTCCTCATCCAGTAATATGCTCGATGGCGTCATGTAGGTACGTGTGTGACCATGTTCGTGCAGGTGGCACATGCCTCTTGCGACGCCCACTCCAATCATCAAAATGTCGCGGTAGGTCAGGTCGGACCCAGATTTGGATAGCAGTCGCCCAAGATTCACGGGCATCAACTCCTCGACGATCACTGGGTCGTCCCCCATACGGCCACCGATCACCCACACGATGTTTGGGTGGTGGGGTACGGCGGTCAGCGTGCTGCACTCGTTGTTTATTGCCTCAGCGCAGGCCCTGTCTTTTGTGTCTGTTGGAGATTTGATGGCCACTTTCCAGGCGCGTCCGTCTTTGTCGAACCACACGCCTTCTCTGACGGCCCAATGCTTGCCGAGGCTCTGCCAACCGCCCACCAGGGCGGCGGCGTTTTCTATGTTCAAAATGGGTTGGCCTGGAAGCTTTGGCCTACCAGCGCTCTGCAGATTGGGGGGAAGCGGTTTTCCTTCGCGGCGGTTGGCAGGCGCCTGCGGGTCGAGGCCTGCATCGATTCCCCTGGGGTGCTTCCTTTTCCATCCGTGGTGCTTTTGCCTGACAAGCGCAAATCAAATAAGCAGATATTTGAATACACAGAAGCACAAAAAGCAGGGGAATTGGGAGGCGAGAGGGAGCCCACCTGGTTATCTATAACAGTTTTGTGAATGTTAGGACCATACCGAAATCGCTTGAAAACTATGAAAATGTGCGTTAGAGTATTCGTCGACCTTAACGTCCTTGGGTCATTGAAGCGGACTTAGACATCTATATGTATCCTCTTTCTGGGGCCCTTTCCCACAGAAGAGTTACTGCATTGTAAAATTAGATTATATTGTAATAGGACAGGAAACTCCAGAACACCAGGCGTGCCAATAAAGGGACATCCAGATGCTGCAGAACGCCAAAGACTGGAAAAGTCGACGATAAGCCATCAGAAACGACACCAGTAACGGCAGAGATCCTGCCACCGTAGCTGCAGGGGACCTGCACCGTGTTTCATCAGATCAACACCGCGCAATGTCTTCGCCATTCAGCAAGACATTGTTCCTGCCATGGGTCTCTTGAATTTCGTGTTGCGTTATCGTGCTACCAATAAATCATTCACTTGAGGGATTTAACAGCAACTCTGTTCCCGGCTCACTAGGAAAAAACAGGCCAGATGACACAGTCCTGACACGGTCTGCTCAAAATCAAACCGTGTACTTTCGGCAAATGTGGTCCCAAAAGTACACAGATAGTACACATATTGACACAGTTTAAACCGTGTAACCTCACACAACTGTGTATACTACACGGTTTCCTAGGATGCACGGTTAAAACTGTGTCAATATGTGTACTAAATGTGTACTTTTGGGACCACATTTGCCGAAAGTACACGGTTGGATTTTGAGCAAACCGTGTCAGGACTGTGTCATCTGGCCAGTTTTTTACTAGTGGCTGGCACTCGCGCTGGACCCACTTGCGCATCAAATCGTTAAAAGAAATACATTGCAGTACATTGGGAAAAGTGGACACGTTGATGCCATATGTTGGCTACGCTGTCACTGACGCAATGCCCGGCAGCGCTTCCAAAAATTACGCCTGTGTCACTATTGGCAGGGTTTGATGCGTGTGACTGCGCTGCGTCAGTGTTGGTACACTGGTATAGCTGCGGCTCCAATCGACATCACATCAATACACTGTGCAAGCATCATCGTACCAACGTCAGGCCTTCCTAGGCACTAGGAAAAAACAGGCCAGATGACACAGTCCTGACACGGTCTGCTCAAAATCCAACTGTGTACTTTCGGCAAATGTGGTCCCAAAAGTGCACAGTTAGTACGCACATTAACACAGCTTCAACCGTGTACCCTCAAACAGCTGTGTAGACTACACGGTTTCCCAGGATGCACGGTTGAAACTGTGTTAATGCGTGTACTATCTGTACTGGGACCATACAGTGGGCCTAACAGATGTCGGCCCTACTGAATTAGGTGCATCTGCTTTACGGAAAACAGCGCTTGATCCAGCTGATTGAATCCGCGCATTCCGCACCTCCTTATGGACGTTGAATACAGCCTCGAAGTGATGCCTGGCCTCCTGATCTCCGCAATGACCATCACTGTGAGGACCACGAGAAGGAGGATGGCCACCAGCGTCCGGGCGAGCCTGATGGACCGCGAGTTGAATTCCTACCATCCACGTACAGAGCTTTAGCACGTCTGTCTGCAGCGGCCCTGGTACGGCAGGCCACAGGCAAATGTCCAATACACTTCATTTCAGGACGCGAAGGTCATGGAGGTCATGAAGGCCATTTTGGTTTCAGAATTTTGTTAAGAATATGAGTCCTTTGAGCCCTCATGCACTTTGTAGCCTTCGCAACCCTTGCATGGCCTTCGTATCAAGATAGGATGGGTATGAGGCAAGCCTCGGTCCCAACCCTTTGCGCCTACAAAAGGGTATCAGGCCTTGAGGACATACGGGTGTGCAAGCACTGATTCCGCCACTGAATACAGTGACCGGTCGTATTGCATGTTATGGTGGTGCCCTCGCCGCATCCATTCACATTTATCGTTGGGGAGATGGGCGATTGAATCCGCGAGCCTCCCAGGCGAGTGAAACCCGGCAGGCGACGTCAGTAGCGTGCTTATACACGCGCACCAGTAGAAAGAAAAGCATTTGAGCTATGTCACTGAGAGTAAACGATGTCATAACAGCTAGCTTTGATGCCACCGCAACCACTGAGATACCCCAGTGTCGTCGATAACACTATTCAGTGTCAAAACGGCGTCGCGGTTAGTGTCACCAATTTTCTTCTGGTATGGGAGGTCCGGAACTCCTTAGCTCCGAAGCAGACTGTGAAGCCCAGTCTTATGCACTAAAAATGATGCAGTGTCGGTAATGGCTCAGCGCTGCTCCAAATTGGTTCCCAGGTCAATTTCACTTCGGAGTTCAGTCGCTAGGAAAAAAAGGGCGAAATAACACGTGTTGAAACGTGTACAAAGTTTGCGGGTTTGGGTTATTTTCTTGCTCTTAGCGTCCAGAACACTGATGAAATGCATACATATGTGTTCGTAAAAACTGTCACTTGGTCCTTTTTCTGCTAGTGAGTGGGACAGTTGAGCGGAACGAGGTGCCCAGTCGTGGCTTGGGCTGCGATTCTGCTCGGAGTCTGCGCTTCAAAGGGCGTGCGCAACTTCGCCGAGAGAACCGCATAACATCCCTATGGCGCTGCGCGCTGCGACCGCCACCGCGCATCATGGCCCCACAGGTAGCGCTTCATTGGTCACCCTGTGGGTACGATATGTTGGCCAGCAGGTCACTTGGCCCATTGCCTCCTAACCGTGTGGCTGTGGTTCCCGCTCCGCATGGCGAATGCCCACAAGGCGTGGTAAGCCAGCGCCATCAGGTGTCCATTTGGAACCTCGATCGCGGACACTTGGCAGCACCATAAGTTCTGCGATTCAGCTATATTTTTTTTGTTGGATTTCCGCTGGACCGGGCTGCGCCTGGCATGGTGGGCGATCGCGCACGATGGGAGAACCATGACGGCCATTTAATGAAAGATAGATCCACGATGCCCCATCAGAATTCCCGCCGCCGCTGCTGCGGACCGCTGAACCGCCAAGCCATCCCAACCTGGTCGGCACGAGTCACATGGCCAAGCCTGGATCTGCCTGGCCCCAACCCCTTCGACTGCTCTCGGAACGACAGTCTCGTTTCGAAAGGTGGCCCTGTCGAGACGGCACCGCCCAAGCCGAACCCTCGCAGACTCGACCGCAGCAGAAAAAAAGCACGGAGACGAAAAAAACGGAAAAAAGGACCTGCCCCAGGTCGCGAGGCCAGGCGACGCTCGCGGAGCACGTCACGCAGCGGTGTTGGCCCACGCGACTGACGTCAACAGCGTCAGCGTCGGCTGACCCTAGGAGAGGACCCACGGCCGAGTGTGCGCGCCACCGCGGCGGCGGAATCCCGTTCGGTGGCGAAGCGTCGCGGGTGTGGGATCGCAACCGTTCGCCCCTCGGAGGGTGCATCCGCGCCTCACTCTCTCCCAAGGGGGCCATCAAGGCTCGAGGCTGGAGACCAAAACGGGCGATACAAATCACAAAACACTCTGGGGGTCCGGCGGCGTGAGCATGGCTGCTCGAGTGGGACCGATCACATGTATGTGCTGGCTGGATCTAAACGGACCCTCCCACCCGCTCCTTTACCACTTTTACCAGGCCGGGGTCACACATTCCCGTCGTCTTGCTGCCCATCGACACCCAGCACAACCCCAACCCCGCTCAATGCGAGTCCAAATTTTGGCGCTGGCAAATGCCACCCTTGCCAGAGCGAGGCCACACAGAGATCTTTCCCCCTATCCCGCCGCCTGACTCACCCATTGGAAGCCGTCCGGCCCCTCCCGCGGCTCGCACTGGGCCGAGGCCTCCGGAGGTTTGGGATCGTCGCAGCACACCTCAGCTGCGCCGACCAAGCTCCCGCCGGAAAAAATTGGGCCGGCGGCCAAAATTAGTGCCGACTTGCCGGCCACGAAATGGCACAGCACGGATGCCGGCCATCGCATGTTTGGCCTTGGCGAGGGAGACGGGCGGCTGAGTGGAGTTGGAGACTCCATCCTGCGGGTCAGTTGACGAAATCGACGGTGGCAGGCGACTTGCGGGGACCCGCGGGCCGGCCTTCCGTGCCGTGGGCTGCCGTGCGGTGTCGGCGGGTGGTTTGTGGGAGATGGCGGGGGGAGCAACTTGAGCGGATAGGGCTGGGCGAGCCACGACACGTCCACCCCCGATTGGCCCTTTTCTGAATATGTTTAAATGAGTCAGCAGGGCGGGGATTCACGTACTTTGCGCAGTTCTGCTTCGCCGGCTGGCGGGCGAGGTGTTTGCGGTCACGAGCCACAAACGGCCTGTGGAGAATCAGAGCCAGGAAAACGCCCCACGTGAACGGTTGCTAAGCGGCAAATGACTTACGGATGAGGACGTTTCGAGAATGGCCGGTCGCACGATGTCAAACATCCGTCGATTGGCGGACCTGGGCGCCGTTTGGAGTCTCGACATGCACGGGATCCCGGAAAGCTGTCGCCTGCACCTTCCGCCGGGTCGCTTCCTGTCCGTCTCGTCAGCAGTACAGGCTGCTGAAATGCTGGTGTGAGCACTCTGCGTCGAAGCCTGTTGTACAGCTTGTACAGCAGGTCTCGGTGCGGAGCGATCGACAAGGGCGTTGGGGCGTTGGTCGCACGAATGTCATCACGCACGCACCACGCCTGCATTTCGAAACGTGGACGTAAGCGTGTGCGAGGTGCTTGAGCTTCGAGACGCACGCCCTCGTGTTGCGGCCGACAGGGGACGATGTTTTTTGATGGGGCCATCGTTGCCGCTGGCCGGGGGCTGGGCCCCCATGGGCTGAAACATGTCCGAGATCTTTGCCGACATCGTGTGAGAAAACACATCCAAGGAAGCGTGAAAAAAGCGGCGCAAGGGTCGGAACCTTGGACCAAGTCTGCACACGCCGTGCTTGGGTGTCCTGACGTCGTGACACAATGGCGTTTGGCACTGCTGCGCAAGTCCTTGCGTTGCGGTCGACAAGGGACGCGCTCTGGATGAGGTCATCGTTGCCACTGGCCCCTCCATGGGAGTTCACGTGCTCGAGCTGTCAAAGTGCCGAAAGAAACATTGAAGAAAGCGGAAGAGAAAGGCGAAATCGCGACGCGGCGGTGGGGAGCTTTGACAGAATCACCGAACAGACCGTTTAGTCGCAGTGACATCACGACACGGCGGTGGTAACGTAGCCCCGAGGAACGTCGGGCTGCTGGGGTCACCGATGGCGGGCGGACCTGTGGTTCGCCGCTTGCACAGTTTGAGGAGAATGTGACACGACCAAGTGCTAAGCCATGCGCCAGCAACCAGGCAAGAGTACATAACGTGACAAGCCGATAAAATAGTAAGTCCTGTACACCGGCAAGACAAGTAACTTGGTTCTCTTATTGCTCTGTTGGACGGCTTAGATTCTAGTGCTGGCGACACGATGTTTGATTCAGACTACTAAGATAGCATGGTACACATGTAGTAATGCTGGACAATGGATGAATCGATGGATGTGAACTGAGTGAATGGTACACAATCAGAGTATCTTTGCTGTATTTGTGTCTGGGTGCAGCAAGCGCGTTTGAAGTCTAGGGGATCCCATTGCCAACTGACAGCTGGCCGTCCTGAAGTAAAAGTACTACATCCTCTGCCCCATGTTAAATTCCCTCTATGACTTTGACACATTACTTAATAAAACTTCCCTCAAAGCTGCGCTTATAAGTTTGAAGTATGCAGTTCAAAATTCTGTTGAGAAGTGCAAAGTTGGAATCAGTCTGCAGCAAGAGCCCTTGAACGAATAAACCCCATCCTCTAATGAGCTTCGCCCCACCTTCGGTATACATCAGAGTCCCAAAAAGCAGTAAAAAGTTCACGCTGTTGTGGGAGGACTTCCTTTCCTTCTGAGAACATTTTATCTCTGCCGAGAGCGGCAGTCCTACTCGAAATGCACGTGAAAATGACACCTATCGATTCCCAGGAGGAGCCTCTCTCCGACGGGGAGGGCAACCTGGGCGGCGCTGACAGGGACAAGGAATATTGAGCGCTTGCCGGGTCCACGGATTTCCATTTCTTGTCAACCTATTCATGAATTTTCCATAATTGATTGTCCTGAATTTGATCGACAAAGAATAACCCTTCGGCAATCTCTAGAACAGCTGCTCTTCTTTACAGAAATGGTGATTGGGGTGTGAGGCCCATAAAGTACATTGGATGGATTCCTCGGCTAAACCAGGCTCCATTCGTCTCAACTTCCAACTTCGCATTCCTCAGGCGCGCACGACACGGAACATATATAAGGGCGCCTCTCTTTCGCTTTCTCATGCATGCTCGGCCAATGGTGACCTGTGCAGACTATCCTTTACAGCGTGCAACGTGTCTCAAATCCAAGACTACCGCCCGCCTGTGTCATATTAAGGACGCACATTGAAATGGTTGTGATCGTGAGGCACCACGGACGGACTGAAAAAGTCTATATCACATACAACAGATGCATTAGACTGCGACAGCGAACGTCACGAGGGACTGTACAACCTGTA